TGACAATTGTTGTTGTCTTCTCTGTGAACGTTTTTTTCGCCGTTCTTTTGCCATTTTGAGATTTAAATTTCTAGCGGAAAGCTAACCAGGAAGTGTTTTAGCACATCACGTGACGCATCTGAACGAATCAAGTTGTCAGAAGTTGACACCAGCCAATGAGATTTCGTTTCTTGGTTTAAGACCCTTTTGTACTTTCACGATTGGTTGCTGATACAAAGAAAATGACCATATTTGGATCCGATGAGATTGTGCAGGAGAGACGGAGCTTTCCAACGATATCTCTGTTGACATCTTGCACACAGCGGTCGCGGTACTTTATGTTAGGTTAGAATGCTAACTTTTGGTGAATTTAGGAGACATCTACTGACGCAAATAGACAAACTATAGTAAAATAAACACTTCAATGTATATTTCGTACGTTTTCCTTGCAAAAGCCTGAAAGAAAACATGTTATGGAATCAAAATAGCACAAAATCTCAAAATTGACCAGTGCATGAAAAACGATGTTTTTGCCTGCTGTGTCTCGCCTGTAACAAACAATTTATGCGGCTCATATCGCTGACAGCGGGCCCGGCCCTGCACCACCTTTTTTCTTTTCTTTTTTAAGCGGCCCCCCTCCCCACTTTTTGCAGCAACTCCTGAGAAAAATGACTTCCCGCGGCTATGCCCACAACAATTGCTATCTCTGACAGAGAGTTGCCCGGTCATAAACTGGCAACATCAACAATATACTAGGGCAGCCCCTCCTTATGGGAGATAACGGCTGCTTAAGGTTGGTCAGCTGCGTCAGAGGGCGAAGGAGGACATGCAGGGCAAATTATTCCCCAACAAAAGCAACATAAATCCAAAACCATGACAATATCTTGTCATTTTTCCTACCTTAAGGAACACAAGTGACTGCTCAGGCAAAGAACGTTAAGATATTGTTTTTATAATGCGCACTGACAGTAGATCCATGAGAAAGTTGCTTATTATTCCTTTAAAAACAATACAATGTATTTAATTTTTCCAGGCATTTTTTGGCATTTCCAAGGCAGAAATAAGTCAATTGCTACCCATTTAGCTTAATCATCATCATCATTGTTTCAACATCATCACTATCATAATATTTTCAGCAGCAATATTCACAGTTTTCATAACAACTCAAGCCAGAATCCTCCAACCCAACCAAAAGCAGAAGCATTAAAAGTTCATTCAGACATGCACTTTCTTTACCAACGAGATATACAGGCCACCTGTTTCCTTGGTTTTACTATATACTAGAGACAAAAGTAGTAAGTTACTAAGTATTAAGTAAGGTTCTTTTGCTGTTCTTGGGTACGGTTATGAAGTATGAAATGCATAGAGAGATTGGTGATTCTCATCTTTACTAAGATTGAAACTTTACTAAGATTTTTACCTGCAAACTGTATGAAGTACACTGTCGTCTGGGCTTTGTACATAATTGTGCTTTCATATGATTTCAGGGTTTTTGTGTTATGAGTTTGTTCTAGACTTACATAAATAAATGTTCTAACAATTTAACAGACAAATCTGAATGGTATATAATTACAGTATTGCATTTGTCTGATGACCAATGGTGTGTTCACACTTAATTCAAGAGCTTATAATGATCTTGCACTATTTGTACAAATATAACAGATGACAAGGCTTTGCACTAATGAGCTGACTTGGGCTTATCATTTCCCAGTTCTGAGTTTTGACAATAGAAACATTTTTTGTACTTTAAAAAGCTCTACATTTTGAGAAGAGTTCCCTGAATGACAGCATTAATATTCACATAGATTTTAATATCGGACATTGAACATGAATGCAGATGTATTGAAATCTACTTATTGGTTAGTCTACAGAATCCTGTGATTGTTAGGTGACTAAGGATGCTTTCATTAAAGGCAGCCCTAGGATGAATGGTTATGGAATTGCTATCAGGGCACTGTCTGATGGTTAATCATTTTCACATTTGCTCCTGTTTTGGTTGGTACTATAATTTACATATTTGACCAGCAATTTACTCAAGTAATATTATTATTCAAGTCTCTAAATAATTCAGTTTTATTTTGTTTCATTGACATGTGAATAAGACAAGGCTTTTCTGTTGGAAATATCCTAACTTCTTTTCACACGTTTGAGTTTTTTATTACACCTAAGCTTTTTACGCAGAGATTTAAAACATATGTAGGAGTTTCAAGCACTGAGCCTATTTTGTGAATAACCAGGACTTTAAAAGTCTCATAAACTTTAAATGTATTGTGTTGCTATGGGCCGCACAAGTCACATTAACCTGTAAATGTCCTTACAAGTAGCATTTTAATCAGGTTTTCACAAAACATAGCCTTAAAAAACCCCTTGACACATCAATTGTTTTCTAGAATCATGGATATGAAATACTCTGATTCCCAGGTCTCTAAGACCTTGGGAAAGGTATGTCCCTATTTGTCACATTATTTTTACAGGTCCTGATATGTCATATAAACATGTATGTGTGTGTTTGTTTATATCCAGCTGCGTCTTTGCTTTGACTTTACATACATGTTATTCTGTGGAACACACCTTGACTCTCCACAGCTGTTCTTTTCAGCTGATGAGGAAAGGATAATACAACTGTAACCCCAACATTGCCTTCTGTCACAATGTTTGTTTTTGGTCAAATTTAGGTATTCTTCATTTAAATTAACAATAAATCAGGCACCTTTAACAAACCTTTAAATGCTCATAAAACATGTAGGCATTATCCAGTAACAAAGGGAAAGGGAAAACGATTCTGGTAGAAATTAGAGATAAAATAGCTACTGTTATACAATAGCAATAACATTTGATGAGCAAAAATCACACAATTAGTACAATAACAATACAGTACTGGAATCCAGAAGGACTTTTAGACAACCATCCTGGATCATGGTGTGGAATTAGTACTAGTCTGTTTGGGCCGCCACTTTCAAGTACACAGCATAGAGTCACCCTGAGGAGTACAAAACATACTACATAATAAATTGCAATACATTTTTAGGACTCATCCATTTTGAAATTGTTGTCGTTAGTGATAGGAAAGGAAGTGTCAACATTCTTTAGGGTTTATAATTTGGATCCATAAAATGTCAAACTTCATTGTCTTAATTGTCGAAATGTCAGACAAAGATCATACTATCTTATCATAACTATTATCTGTGTTTTTATATCCTGGTTTCTCTTCCTTAGCACAATCTTATTCTGATGTGAGTTTGGCATCATCTGTGGTGATTTAGTGTAAACAAAGATGAGTGATGAGTTTTAGACATTTAAACCTTTAAAAAAAAACACTATTTTCTCATATTTAGAAAAAACAGTTTTTCTCAAGATAAAATCAGTACCAACTGAAATAAAAGAGCCTTCATTTTACAAATGGCATTCTTTGTGGAATGGATAACACAGCTATAATAGTCAATATGTCACTTTTGTGATCTTTTTTTCATAAATCAGTAACGCTGAGTTAGCCACTCTTTCTGAATTCGTTCCATTGCTTTGGTACAGTGGTGCAAAGGACATGAAAGAAGGGGAAACTGTCACAGAGTTTCTCCTTTATTTAGCTGTATTATTTTTGAGTCCGGGCGAAGGTTTAGTCTTTATGCCCTCAGTGCCCCCCCGGGACGTCTCTTGGAAAAAGAGTTGTGGCTTCCACACAGACATGACAATCCGCTTGTACTCTCTACGGAAGTTCTGGTTCAGCAGGCCGTAGATGATAGCGTTAAGGCAACTGTTGAAGTAAGCCATAAAGTAGCTGACCACAAATAGCCACTCTGGGATGTGAGGCGCCACTTCTTCAGGGTAGACAGCAACAGCAAGCCCGATGAAGTTGAGCGGTGCCCAACAAATAGCAAACAGCACGAACACCACAAACATGGTGATAAAGTTCCTCAGGTCACTGGGCTTGTTTCGAGGGCGGACCTCTGACTTCACCTTCTGCCTCACCTGGATGACCATGATCCAGATTCGCAGGTAGCAGAAGGTGACTATAGCAATGGGCACGAAGAAGTGGACAACCACCACCGTGATGGTGTAGGTCGCGCTGACTGTCTGTGCAAATGTGCATGAGTAAACGCGGGGGTCGTACTGCAGCGAGCCAACAAAAAAGTTGGGCACGATGGCTAAGACCGTCAGCAGCCAGATGAGTGCTACCAGCAGCAGCGTGTTGCGGTAGCTGTAAAGTGTGTCGTAGCTGAAGTTTTGGCAGATGTAACAGTAGCGGTTGATGGCAATGCCTGTTATGTTGAAGATCGAGCCAATGACGCTCAAGCCCATAAGGAAGCCACTCACCTGAAATAGAGGAACGTTCAATGTAGTTACAAAATCATAATGATTGTATTAGTTTTTAAGCACATTTTTTAGTACCTCAAAAAAGAAAAAGAAAAATGTTTAAAACCAAGTCAGCATTCAATATAATAATAATAATATAATAATAATAATACATTTAATTTGTTAGCGCTTTTACAGGTGCTCAAAGACGCTTTACAGATAATAGTGAAGAGAAAAGAAAAGAGAAGAAAGGAACAACAAATAAATATATAGTTAAAGTTAAAGTCAAATAATACAAAAACAATCACACATGAAAAGCCAGATTGAAGAGGTGAGTTTTTGTGAGTTTTTTGAAGGTGGTGAGGTCGGTGCAGTCTCTGATGGGTTGTGGGAGTGAGTTCCAGAGGGAGGGGGCAGCGACGGAGAAGGCTCTGTCCCCCCAGGTCCGGTGATTGGTGCGGGTGGGGATGGATAGGAGGTTGGCTTCTGATGAGCGGAGGCAGCGGTAAGGGGTGTGGTGGTGCAGCACGTCTGTGAGGTGGGGGGGGGGCCTGGTTGTTGAGGGCTTTGTAAGTAATGAGGAGGACTTTGAAGTGGATTCTTTGACGGACGGGGAGCCAGTGGAGGTTCTGGAGGATGGGAG